TATAATCTTTTTAAACCATCAAACTATTCTTCACCATGCTTTTCATACATTTAACTCATCTGTTCGATGAAACCATAGTGACAGATGGTGAGAAAGAATGATTAATATGCAACTTCGCTTTTCTTTTCAAATTTCTTTATTTATACACTCTCGCTTCTTTCCGACAAATGACTATACACACAACGACTAGATTAGAATGGCAAGAATAATAAAACTGCATTAACGTTTGTTTGTTTCATTGTCAATGTACTTTTTTTCTCAACCTTTCTTTCTCCTTATACTTGCGTTTTAGATGGCTAACTATAGATCAACAATAGAGCTTCTTTTCGCGGAACGATTTGTAAAAAAATCAAAAGAAGCCGCATGTCTATTCTTAATAATGACTTTTTATTTTTAGATTTAAACGACAAGAAATTATTTGTCTTATATAAAATGCTTGTATACTACACGCAATTCTCTCAAAATACTATTAACAGTATTTTTCTTCATAGGTTTTCATGCAATATGATTTATAATGAATATAAGTTTAGTAGTCCATGCAGTTACTTATGCAAAATTTTTACCAGATTTATTCAATTTATTCTTTTGTATCGATTAAAATCAATATTCACCAAACAAAAATTGATGGTGCAAACTTTTTGCGTGAATTCTATTTTCAATACAGTTTTTCTGGAGTCAGAATAATTGATAGACATAAAAATTCAAGAGCCTAAAGATGTTGCTATATATATATATGCTGCTTATTACAGCAAAATAATTCATGTTGTCTTGAAATAGCTGTTCTGGATACAAAAAATAATAAGCAGCACATAATTTGATAAAGAAATCATTTAACAGATTAGTTTTTTTAATGCGAAAACAAACTTTCATCTGAATACCTCACAAAGAAGCTTTGCCTTACTTCAAATAATATATCACTTGATAATTTATTCAACATGCGCTTTTTCTCATGTAAAGTATACAATTTTTAAGCATCTCTATTTTTGAGGAAGTTTATTTTATTTACAATTGCTATCATCAGTTGAAAGAGTCATTTCCACCCTTATGGATACAGAATAACTTCGTTTTTATTCAAAAATAGTAATCAATGCTTAAATTATGAAAACGTTTTTTCATATTTTTGTGCTTTTTGAAAACTATTTTCAATCAAGCACTTCAATGTTTTTGTATGAGACACTCTTCTTTTTCAACAAAAGACAACAAAATTCTTACGATATTCCATTGTCATAATGTAATTAATTATCTATAATAAATGAGATAACCTAGAAAAGTTTCTTCGATCTTACTTTCTTCAATATTAAGTCTGTACTTTTTTTTCATTCCTTGGCATAATGTTTAAAGCATGCTCTATGTACAAAATTTCAAAGCTTTTTTCATTAGTTTCGTCATAATAAATTTTATACATTTATCAAACATTAATATGATATCTGACAAAGAGTGTAAAAAAAACTAATTCGGTGAAAGAATTGTATTTTTCTTTCTACCTTCATTCAATTGTTGACTTTTGTTTTGCTCGTTCTTTCGATAATGTCATCAATAAATGTATTTGGTTTGTTCTGTTTCTTGCTCTGTACAATATTATTTTCAAAAGTAACTAGGTGAAATTTGTCCTTGAGCGACAACGAACAATCGAGAATAATCAAGTTACTGTCTATATAAAGAAGAACGGTGACTTTTCTTTGCATTCAAACAACAATATCTACTAAAAAGTTTACCTGCAACAAAAAATTACAACAAGATCAAAATGAGTGGACCAAAATCAGATGAAAACGCTGTTGGATCATTCAAATCAACGACATCACAAAATATTCGCCAACCACGACAACGTCTGGCTTCAAATTACCTTCTCGTTTGGATAGATGCTAGCATCGACGAAACAAACAAGGATTGCCAAGAAACATTTGCTCAATTGAAGAACGTGATCAGCCATATCACCCTATGCACTGAACCGGATCGGTGCATCCAAGTACTCAACAAGGTTGACAAGGAACGCGCCTTCGTGATTACATCATACTCATTAGGTCAACATTTGGTTCCTGAAATTCATGGCATGCTACAGTTAGAGGCAATTTATATCATTTGTGGCGACAAATCCGAACATCAAAAATGGACTCAAAATTGGGCAAAAATCAAAGGTGTCCATACAAATATGAAAGATATTTGTCAAGCATTACAAGCGGATGTCAAGCAATATAATCAAGACTCCATTGCTATGAGTTTTGTCACCGTAAATGAATTGGCTTCAACTTATGATTCAAATCAGTTGGAGCCAACTTTTATGTATACGCAGATATTCAAGGAGATTCTCCTTGATATGGAACATGGTAAACAAGCCATCAAAGACTTTATTACAAACTGCCGACAAAATGAATGCGGATTCACAGTTACTATTAATCGATTTGAAAAAGAATACCATGCTCAATCAGCTATTTGGTGGTATACTTTCACTCCATTTATCTACTATATGCTGAATGATGGCCTTCGGTCGATGGAAGGCAATACCATTATTAATATGGGTTTCTTTATTCATGATCTTCATCAACAAATCCAACAACTATACCAACAGCAGGTTAATCATTATCATGACAAACCATTTTTAGTTTATCGAGGGCAGGGTCTAAAAAAATCAAACTTCGAAAAACTTCAGAAAACAAAAGGTGGACTAATGTCATTTAACAATTTTTTGTCCACCAGTAAAGATAAACAAGTATCTCTCAAATTTGCTGAATTTGCTTCGATGATACCGGATATGGTGGCCATTCTCTTTGTAATGTCAATTGATCCTTGTATTAAATCAACACCATTTGCCTCTATTAAAGAGATGAGTGCTATTAAGGAACAAGAAGAAGAAATTCTTTTCTCAATGCACGCCGTGTTTCGAGTGAATGCAATTAAACAAATCGATAATAATGATCAACTTTATCAAGTTGAATTACAATTAACATCAGATGATGATCAACAATTACGAATATTGACTGATAGGATACGAGAAGAAGCTAGTGGTACTGAATGGCAGAGGTTGGGTGTCTTATTGCTTAAAATTGGTCAATTTAATAAAGCTGAAGAACTTTATAAGGTATTACTCGAACATACACTTGATGAAGATGAAAAAGCGTATTATTATCATCAACTGGGATATGTCAAAAATGACCAGGGTGATTATAAAAAAGCTATTTGGTATTACGAACAAGGACTTGAAATTAAACAAAAAACTCTTCCTTCAAATCATCCTGAGTTGGCTACTCCATTCAACAACATTGGTAGTGTGTATGACAATATGGGAGAGTACTCGAAAGCACTTTCATTTTACGAAAAAGCACTTGGAATCTATCAAGAGACTCTTCCTTCAGATCATCCCGATTTGGCTACTTCATACAGTAACATTGGTTTGACCTATAGCGAGATGGGAGAGTACTCCAAAGCCCTTTCATATTACGAAAAAGTATTTGAAATTCTCAAAAATACTCTTCCTTCAAATCATCCTTATTTGGCTACTTCGTACAGCAACATCGGTAATGTGCATAACAAGATCGGAAAACACTCAAAAGCACTTTCATTTTACGAAAAAGTACTTGAAATTAAACAAAAAACTCTTCCTTCAAATCATCATCAGTTGGCTACTTCATACAACAACACCGGTAGTGTGCATGATTTTATGGGAGAGTATTCGAAAGCACTTTCATTTTATGAAAAAGCACTTGAAATTCGACAAAAAACTCTTTCTTCAAATCATCCTGATTTGGCTACTTCATACGATACCATCGGTTTGGTGTATAACCACGTTGGAGAATACTCGAAAGCACTTTCATATTACGAAAAAGCACTTGAAATTCGAGAGAAATCTCTTCCTTTACATCATCCTGATTTGGCTACTACATACAACAATATCGGTAGTGTGTATGACAGTATGGGTGAGTATTCGAAAACACGTTCATATTACGACAAAGCACTTGAAATTCTCAAAAAAACTCTTCCTTTAAATCATCCCGATCTTGCTAATTTATACAACAATATCGGTAATGTGCACAACAAGATGGAAGAGTACTTCGAAGCACTTTCATATTACGACAAAGCACTTGAAATTCTCAAAAATACTGTTCCTTCAAATCATCCTTATTTGGCTACTTTGTACAGCAACATCGGCAGTGTGTTTGACAAAATAGGAGAATACCGGAAAGCACTCTCACTTCACGAAAAAGCACTTGAAATCTATCGAAATACTCTTCCTTCCAATCATCCTTTATTGGCTACTTCATACAACAACAGTGGTTTTGGGTATTACAATATGAAAGACTATTCGAAAGCACTTTCATATTTAGAACGTGCTCTGGACATCCTACAAAGTGCATTACCTCTAACTCATCCTCATATCAAAAGTGTGAAAGAAAGTATTGAAATTGTAAAAAAGAAATTATAAAGAATAGTTGATAAATAAATAAAAGAAGGTTTTCTTGACTCATTTTTGAATTAATTCTAATTTGTAGTGAATCGCGCACGTGTACAGAGAACAACTCTGTAAATAATAAAAAATTAATGAACAAAGCCGACTGATAAGGTATACACATACAAACATATGCGTATAGATGACCTTCTCAGACATATATACATTTCTAATTCTTTACAAGAGTGTTTCTTATAACAAAAGAAGAAGAACTTATATGAAGTTCGATTGTAAGAGTGCCGAACGAGACTTCATATGATGAAGAAAAAGTTACAAAACTGCGATATATCTCTTGATCAATATATCATCAACACATGATCTAGTCGAATAGTTGAATTCAAGTTTCAAGTATTGCATATATGGAGATATAGAAATAGATTATTAAAACTGAACATATGAAAAAATGAAGTTTATCTATTTTATATAGATAACAACTAATCTCTACAATAAAATAATATTTTAAATGTTTATCAGATTTTCGAATCACGAACAATTCAAGATTTTCAATCGTCCGATACGGATCGGCTTCATTATTTATGCATAGTTAGAACTCAGCAATAAAAGTAAAAGCTGAAAAGGATGCAGACCCTTGTCTTGTCTTTGCAGAGTAGTTACCTTGGTTTTTACTAAATTTTCAACCACATAATGATGAGTATTTTTTGCCAGTAAAAACTAATTGCAGCACATTCAATAATTTGAAAGAATCTTGAGGATGTGAGTGGGTGAAGGTAATGAATAAGAAGAATACACACACCCACACCCATACCCCGTATTGAATATCAAAAGGAAATATCTTGTATCTATTCTTACATGCGAAGTTGTGTATCTCAATATTCTTTTGTCTTTAGTAAAAACGTTTTTATTTAAGAAATGTATACTAATTGAATAACATTTGATAATCAATTATGATAAAAGTGAAATCGTAAATAAGACTAACTTTTTTCTTCTGTGACAACAAGTATTATAACAAAAACTAACGTTAAGAAAATCTTATCTATCATTATTTCTTTAATAACGTCTCTTACGATTATACTTTGGAATGAAAATCATTAGTTTTTATTTATATAAGAAGAATAATCGGAAAGAATAGAAAAAAATAAAGATCAAAGAAATATTTCAATACAAGTAACAAGTTTTTTGATAAAAGTAAAAATAGTTTTTTTTAATTATTAATTGAATATCATTTGTTGAAGAAAACACAACCATCTTCAATCATCTTGTACTTCTCGATCATATCCATGGTCGTCTAAAAGCAAAAAATTCAATTAATGAGAATTATCAGTTCTTGAACGCTTCTCAATGTTCTACATACCGACAGTTATTACGAGAGTACGATCTTTAGGTACTGTTTCACATGAAGCGAGTACGTTAATAGCTTGTCCTGCACATATCGGACTGTATCAGTATGAACATTAGTATTGACGGATTGTTGTTACTGTGCTGATGCCAATGCTGTTGCGGCTGATTATTCATTTTCTATATAGATTAAGAAAGTGATTTGTTTTTATATTCAAAATATCAAATAAACTTACTGAAGAATTGGTAATTGTAATAAATATGAAATAATCAAACTTTTCAGGAGATAGATTTTTACATAAAAGGAATAAGCTTAAATATCCTCTCTTGTGAAAACAATATTTTACATATTTGCATGCATCTTACGCACCCTAACGGATCAAATTAATCATATTATATTGATTCTTAAAGTGACTTGTTGCTCCATCACTAAAACACATGAAAACGGTTTAACATAATATCCTGTGTTAAAAGTACCTTAGATAGTTGATTTTAGTAATTCGAGGATAATGTCTTTTACGAGTTTGAAAATTACACGTTGAGCACATTAGACAAGTGCTGTGTCGTGACGCATATAGTCGCTAATGATGACTTTATTTTTATGATTTGTCCCGACTTTTATGTGTATAGTCAATAGCGTGGCCTATAGATGGTTCCAATGAGCGGCTTGTACTTCCCGTTGACGAATAAGTGTGTAGTTCTCTGCGAAATCCATCTGTACTGTGGCATATGACGTATCATTAGATAATACTCGGAGATTATTGAACTATAATAATGCAATGACGTTGGAGAATTGACGAAGGCAACCGATTCGAATATACTTATTTTAAGCCTATGAAAGAACAAAATAAATATTTTTTTTCGTAATTAATTGTAGAAGCACTTACTTGTAGTAAAAGATTCATATTTTCGTGAATACGGCACATACATGTTTCGTGCGGACAATCTAATTTAACTTGACGTGGTCTTAACGAATAAAAAGAAGATTTTCCCACTTTAATCATTGAATAATCATCATACAATTTTCTTAACACTTCTCAAACTGTCATTTCCATAAAGCGTACAGGAACAAGTTCATTCTTTATTTTAATCACATCTTTGGTACTGGATAACATTCGACTGATACCATCCTCTAAATAAAACTGGATGATGAATTTGATTGTGCCATGTTTAAGAAACTTGTTTCCACGCGTGTGTTCAGGATAAGCAAGAACTTTATTCGTCTGATGTAATAGAATAGCTTATCTACCACGGTGGTTACTATGTCTAAACCGTTTTGAAAACATAACTCTGTCCTCAGCTTGATGAAGCAATTGCCAGTAGAGTGTGTGTGTGTGTGGTTGAGTAAGAATAAGTAGAACATCCATACATACCTACTCTTTACATATCTTCAGTTTGTAGTTTCGTTATTCAATGAATGATATAACGTCTGATATTGTCAGCTTGGTGTGGATCGGAAAAATAGTTAAAGCCTAATGCAAGAGGAATTGATTCGAATGTTTAATTAAAGACGTGTCCAGTTAAACATAGAAAAGATGTTTTATTCTTTGTCCAATATCAACAGTTGAAGTAATTGCTTTAACACCAGCAAGTGTTGATCGAAATTCTTGTTTTCCTACTTGGACCACGACTAAAAAGAAGTCAGTGTATAATATTGTAATATATATCAGATATTTGTATTAAGAGAATAAAGATTTATACTTTGTAAACAAAATCCTGCAACTCTAAGTAATTTAAGCTAATAATAATTTACGTATCAAGCATTTTATATAAATTCCCCTCATACAATCGTTAGGAAAAATCAGACAAACTTAACGATTTATTTGTTTATTAACTTACTATCCGGGTTATAAAACATTTAGAAATTTTGTCATTCCTGGACGTCTTAAATCCCCAAAAGACTGACCATCGGTAACTATGCAATCATGTGCAGCTTCATCAAATAATCTTCGTTTTTCGGGTTTTGATTGGATTTAGTTTTGGAATATGCTGCTATTATTTAGATGGATATAGAAATTCTCACATTTTGTGGAAACGACCTAAATGACTGCGAAGATTAGCATCGTTGTTGTTGGATGTTTTTATGATCTAAATAAACGCATATATTTTGAGAATTATAAATATTTTCTATTACACATAAAGATATACTGTAAATTTTTTTGAAATTCTACTTTGTGGAAAATAGATCTTAAACAGGCTCAAGCATTTCATAGGTTTATGATTTATTCATTGAATTTATACAAACTCAGCAATGCTTGATTTTCCAAGTTATAGAAATTAAATTTGATTTTTGAAAAAATTATTCTCTGCAAAATAGAAAAACAACATTGATTTAAAATAAAACTTGAAATCATTTTCGATTCTGAGAAAATCATTCTATCAACTACGACATGTTTTTCGTCACTAATTTAGATAATTAATTATTATAGTGAACGCGTAATGTGTGATTGGTTTCATGATCTTGAGGGTGGTTGTGGGTATGACTGTGCATTTCATTTTTCATCCGCATGCACACCCTCAAGAATGCACATGCACCTACACCCTATCCTTCGTGGTTGTTGTAGGATCCGCGCGGACTCATTTCGCTTTTTTATTCAATATTGCATCAAGAACTTCAATTTGAGGCTAATATTTTATCCAATCTCTAGTCATATGTTGGTCTATATCATTCTTAGTAGAAATCATGGATAAGTCTTGTAGACAGAAAACGTAGCTGTGGGTCCGGATGGACCTCACGACAACTATATTGCTACCAGTATATCTTTCGTC